GGGGGAGAGAGTTCCTAGAGGTTAGAAATGTTCCTATAGTGCGAGGAATTCTTCGAGAGATTGTAAGAGTGGGTGGAAAGTGAGAGATTTCTTCCTCTTTGCTACTTCGGAGAGGAATTTTGTGTGCTAAACAACCACAATAACACACCAACCACCACCTCCACAACGTCATCACCTATACACATCCACCAACGCATCCTCTATCACAAACACAACTACATACCAACCACCATAGCATCATCCCATCCACACATTCATCAACACATCCTTTAACACAAACACAATCACACTCCAAACAACACCTCCGTAATACCTACCTCCACACATCCTCTAACACAAATACAACTACACACAACCACCACCCAACATACACCACTGGCAATCATCGAAGGTTAAAGATAAAGCCCCATTCCATATTTTTCATTTTTAGGATACCACATACAGGGCACCCAAAACATTGCTAACAACAAATCAAGCACCCTCTTTCAGCCATTTCTCAAATTCTCATTCAAAACATCAAAAGTAAAGATAAAACCTCATTCAATATTTTTCATTTTCAGGATACCACATACAAGGGCACCCAAAACATTGCTGACAACAAATCAAGCGTCATCTTTCAGCCATTTTTCAAACTCTTACTCGAACGTCAAAGATAAAGATAAAGTCCTATATAATATTTTTCATTTTGAGGATATCATGTACAGGGCACCCGGAACATTCTAACAACAACTCATTCAGTCATTTCCTAAACTCTCACAAACATTAAAGGTAAAGATAAAACCCCAATAACCAGTGCAGGGTAACCAATCCAGCAAAGAATAATAACTAGGCATCACAAAGACCACCTAACACCCTAAATCCTAGTCTAGCACACCATCTAACGAAAAGTGCATCAACCTAGTATCTAGTGCGGGGTAAGTCTGGGTATAGTATGACTTTGACGGGGTCGTTATACCAGCCCCATCCTAAAGATCCGAAGGATCTAAATGGTGCCATGAAGAGTGGTGACACGAGTTAGATCTATTAGATCTTTAGCACAGTCATACTCGTGTCAATCTCGATGACTTAACTCAGATTGCTCACCGGGATCAACCCAACAAGCAATTGTCGTTAAGGCATCGCGACCAACACGAGGTCACTCAAATGCAAATGCAAGCTAATCAAAACATATAAGTAGTGATAAAGAGTATTTCATGAAGTCAGTGACTCGTAGGAATAGGAATGTCGTAGCGGCAGGGGCCCGAAAAGAGGGTATGTCGGTAAAGCAGTGACCCGAAGGAATGGACATGCCGTGGCGGCAGGAGCCCGAAAAGAGGGTATACCGGTAAGGCAGTGCCCTGAAGGTGGGCATGTTGTGACGGCAGCGGCCCAAACAAAAGGAGCCCGAAAAGAGGGTATACCGGTAAGACAGTGCCCTGAAGGGGCCCAAACAAATGGGTATGTCGAGGAGGAAGTGACCCGAGAATGGGCATACCATAGCGGCAGTGGCCCGAAAAGAGGGTATGTCGATAAGGCAGTGACCCAAAGGTGATCATGTCGTGATGACAGCGGCTCGAAAAGAGGGTATGTCGGTAAGGCAGTGCCTAGAAGGTGAGCATGTCGTGATAGCAGCGTCCCAAAAAAAGGGTATGCTAGTAAGGCAATCACCCGAAGGTGGGCATGTTGTGACGACAACGGCCTGAAAAGAGGATATGCTAGTAAGACAGTGACCCGATGGTGGGCATGTCGTGACAGCAGTGGCCTGAAAAGAGGATATGTCGGTAAGGTAGTGACCCGGAGGTAGGCATGTCGTGACGGCATCGACCTGAAAAGAGGGTATGCCGGTAAGGCAGTGACCCCAAGGAATGCAACACAAATAGATGATATCGATTATGCAATCAAACATGTATATGCACATACATAACATGCAAAGAAGCAAGTGGTCGGTCGATCGGGATGGAGCATCCGGTTAAACCAAAGCGTTGTGTCAACCGGGTCGGGGTAGTCGGCTGAAACACAAGTGATGTGACCGGTTCAGGATAACCTACCGAGGCACCAGTAGTGTCGGTGCAAGTGCAAGTGCAAAGTGCAAATACAAGGTGCAAAGTATAAGTGCAAGTGCGATATATGACATACAATATGTAACATGCAAGACATGCACATGCAAATAGTGAGGTGCAAATGACCATACTAACGACCTCGCCTGGGAAACCTAGGGCTGACATACTTGGATTTGCGGCATCGTCGCCTCTAGCTTTGTTGAGGAAATTTGGAGAGTTTTTTTTTCGGATCTCCGAGGGGAAAACTCTCCACGGCGTCACGAAATGGGCTAGCAACAAAGCTTTTCTCATTTCGTGAACTCCTTCAGACTTTGCAAAGCGAGACAGCTTTAGGTTTCCCATATTTACTTGGAGAAGTTGGGAGGTCGGACTTAGCAAAGCGAGAGAAGCTTTGGAGCTGTCTCGCTTTAGAAAGTCCTCCCAACGTTTCCAAGTAAAGCTGGGGAACCCAAAGCAAGGGGAGTGAGGGACTCCGACTCATCGGGACTTGTGCTAAGGCTCACAACATAGGGGAGACACTCAGCTCTAAAGAGGGTGTTTGGTCACGCATAGGAAGTCCTAACCTAAAGGCTAGCTCTAGAAAAACCAACGATCCATCACGTAGCTGCGTCATCGTGCCGACCCCGTCAGCGCACGCACCCCGTGTGGGCGATCAAACCCACACCCCTAGACACCACCAAACCTAGGGTTAGCTAGGAGTTTAGGGAAATCTCACCACCGTGAAGGTTGCAGACGTGTTCTCTTTATGTTGAAGGAGAGCCCACGTTTCTGGTGAACCCCGGTGGTGCTCCAGTCTACGCGCCAATTGTCTCGCAGATTATGCTCGAAACAATAAAAGAGGCAATGAGAGAAAGTAGTCAGTGAGGTATGCAAATCACCCAAAAAAATAACTAATTTTGGCATATAAAAATATAACCAAAATGTACCTTCAAGAAAGGGTTGGACGCGTCGAGACCTTGCTCGGATTCACCTCACAAAACATAACACAGTGAGTGGGAGAACGTGGTGCAACAAGCTCATCCTTATCATCCCCCAACGAAAAAAGAGGTCATATTAGATCATCAACAAGCCCTCCAACTGATTTCATACCACAAAAGATCCACTAGTGTTGCATATATGGCGCAACAGTCATGCATCTAAGAGAAACTTTGTCATTTAACATAATAGAAACATAGAAATGCTAAACCCTAACACTTGAAAGTGATGGGGCAAAGAGAGGGCTTCCAAATCACAAGAGATCTGCAAGTTCTCGCGCATCACCAAAGCTCCACACATGTTTACATATATGAAGCCATTTCATTGCATATTAAAGCAGATTTAGAGCAAGATTTTACCAAAGTTTATCTTCCTCATCTGCCTCCATGATTTTGGGTAGAAGGTTGTGCGGGATCCGGGGTCGGCTAGTGCACACCGAAGGGGAGAATCGGGAAGAGGTGAGGATGCAGACACGGTATCGAGAAACCGAGAGATGCTTAGCTATCATTGTCGATGGAAAAGGGGGAGCTCACCGAAGGCGGTGAAGTAAGATAGTGGTCTCCAGCCGCCAAATGTTTTTTGACCGACCCAGAAAGGGGTAGGCGCTAGAGCATCGCGCCCCTTTTCTTCCTAGCCGAAGGGGGAAGTCGGATCCCCCTCTTGCATGAGAGGACAGAGGGGAATGGCGCCATATAGGTGGCGTCGGTGGCGAGCACAATGCCGGAGAGGAGGCCGGTGAATCGCGGATTGCAGGAGATAGATGCATCTATCTGCTCGACTTAAGGCATCGGGGAGGTGTTCGAGCCGGCACGGGTCGCGGGTCTCGGGCCTAAGAAGGAAAGAGCGTTGGCTTGCATATCCTTCCGTCGGTAGCATGAAACGGGACCGGTGAGGGGCTCGCCGGCCGGCGAGTCGGAGCGCGAGAAGTAGTCTCGAGCGGTGGTTGTTTCTAAGGGGCGTGCGTGAGGTAGGTTAAGAGAATAGAGATTTTAAATTTTAAAAAAAAAATTTTAATAACTATGTTATTTATTATTTAAAATCCTCGATTTGTGCATCTGTCATGCTTGCACGAACCCTAGCAATATGGGTGTCCTTTCCGGGTAAAATTAACGTTCCAGATGCGCCGGGGCTGTCCATTTTGTCATCCAGGGTCATCTGGACAAATTCGTCAATGATCGGGCAAATTCAAGCGAATTTTGCATGCACAACGAATAACATGTGTCAACCCAATTCGAGTCGTCCGACGTGTAAAATGTCGACTGACCTTCGCCTAAGCGAAAGCCAAAACCTAGGGACTTACCCTGGTTACGTGCCCCCTCAACACGTGCTGAAAAGGTCTCAGGTGGGTGTTTGAACTGTCAGATGTTGCGGTCGAGCCGTAAACTATTCCGAGTCATGCAGGAGGACACCCTATACTCAAGACATCAAAAATTGATGCCAACATGCACATGCATAACATGTGTCATGCAAGTGGTCGGCCAAACAAATCAGGACGGTCGGTCAAGCCAAAGTGCTAATGCAAATATGCTCCATGCAATATGCAGTGCAATCAAAAGCAAACCAACATGCTTGATAACGAGTCGTGCTTGTGTTAACACCCTCACATATGAACTTAGGGATAACACTTGGAAATGTGGCACAACCGCCTTCTATTATGTCAAAGCATGAAGGAGTTTCTCTCCGATTTTCTGAAGGAAAACTCTCTACAATGTTGTAAAATATGCTAGCTAAAAAGTTTTTCTCATTTCAGGACTCATCAGGATTTCCTAAATTGAGCTAGCTACAAAGCTTTTCTCACTTTGCAAAACCAAACCTCCCAATTTTTTTCCAGAAAAATTGGGGAAGCAAAAATAGGGGAGAAAGAGACTCCAATCCATTAAGATTTTGTTATGGTGTTCACAGAGAGAATCACTCGGCTCTACCGGGTGTTTGGCCACGTACGAATATCCTAGCATTAGAGTCTCCTCTAGGGAAAACAACGATCCATCACATAGACGTGTAGTCGTACCGACTAATGCAGGCCAACACATGAATCTCTTGTGGACAACCGAAGCCACACGCCTAGCGGCTCCAAACCTTAGGGCTAACTAAGAAAGAAAAGATAGAGGGTTTGAGGAGGTTATAACTTCGCGTTGGTTGCTCGTCGTCCTGCGAAGTCTGGGAAGAAGCTCTCCTCGCCGAGAGAGAAAACGTCCACACCTCTTCAAGCTACGATATCATTGCTGTCTCGATTACTTAAAATGTAATTAACTATATGAGTTTGTCCTTATAGGAAGATGTGAACTCCATAAGTACTAAACCCTCAATCTTTAGTCGTGGGTCACTTTAGTAAAGTCCTCATTGCGGGCATGTCTTTAAGGTATTTTCAAGATGATTTCACTTTAAACGTACAATTTGGAGTTACCCATGCAGAGTCTACTTCACGAAAGCTCCCCATACTTTTTTTTTTGTCTTAGCCATTGTATGCCTAAGCCCTCTGATTCTTAGCTTCCCCAGAATACCCAACAAGATCTGTGATAGAGAGTTATTCGGAGAAAGGGGCTATACAACAATAGACAAGCTGACAACTCCTCACAACAATGACACATGTCTGATGAAGGCTAGACACACCTCTCGTGGCGGCACAGTGGAAGCGACGAACGTTGAAAGCATCCACGTACATAGCGACAAGATCCACCCCAAGTCCTTGCGAGAGGGAAGATCCGGCCAAGACGATGAACCGACAAGCCGGGTGTGACACAAGTCCAGTAAGACTTGAGTCAAAAAACAAGTTAGTCACAGTTCACTCGACGAATTATGTCGACGCATTAGTTGACCGATCGATCAAAGCAACATATCTTGAAGAACCGAGCAGTTGTGCCTCTTGTCAAGACGATCAATTATATTTTTGTCAACCAATTATCACCTCTCGGCATAGGCGAATTTTGGTATGTATCAGCATTTCTTGAGAAAAAAAAATATGGTGAATATGTTTTTGATGATCACCTCTCAACAAACAGTATTTACTTAAACTAATAATTCATCGTAAACCGTTACTTTTTTAAAATTTTATGATGATGATTAATTTAAATTATATATTCTATTAATCATATCAGTTCCCCCTATTCTTAATTGTTTTAATTTGACCAATTTAAATAGACAATCGCAAGAAAAATAAAGGAAAAATCTTTCCACTCTTTACAAAAAAGGAAACTTTGGTGTATTTTCATTCTCTCCTTTATCTTTCCTCGGGTTATGCTCTTAGAAGGACAAATTAAAACCAACAACAAGTTTGCAATTTTTAAGTCATGAAAGAACAACTAACACAGTAGCTGATAAATGTTGCAGAGTACAGACAGATGCAAATTTTAAGCCACTAGATTTTTCCTTATGCATGGCTCTCCTTTGGGCAGCTGTCTTACTTCAATGATGAAAGGAAGCCTAAAGTTGCAGAAGTTTAGTGATCTCAGCTGAAGATTACTAAGGGAATAAGATGGAATGCTGGGTTTTGAAAGAAGCACATTATTTGTAAAGCTTCTCATTTCTTCTTATTCTTCCTCTTCGTTGAAAGCTTGCTTGCATGCATTCTTTACTTATAGCTGACGGCCAATGTTCATTTATATTTACATATATTGTTCATGCTAAAGTTTTATTATTCTACCCAATATCCTGTATTTTATTAAATATTTTTCTTTTTTATCTCGTGTATTTAGTATTTTTCTTTTAGAAATAATGTTTATCAAGCCTGATGGCTCTCTTGCTGTCACATGCGGGTAGTCACCGACCCCAAGCTCTGCTGCCTGTCAT